AAAAAAAAAAAAAGGAAGGAAAAAAAGAAGCTCAAAGAAAAGAAGCTCAGATACAAAGAAAGTTCAAAGCTAGCCTGGGTTCCATGAGATTAACAATAGTCATATCATACTAATAGATGAAGCAAACAGAAACATGTGGCATTTCTAACCTTGGACTTTGGTTTCCAGCCCAACCCCTGTGGTGTCTTTTCTGTGGGGTCCTTAGTACCGTTTGTTCCTCCCCCAGCCCACTCTGAGGCCAAGTGAATGCCAGGTGTGCTGAGGTGCCCTCAGCTCTTCTCAGCAATTCTGCCCGGCCCCTCTCCCTTTCTCCATCTTGCCTGAAGTTCAGGCTGAGTGGGCAGGAGAGCCAATGTGGAGTCTGCCAGAAGCCTAGACTCTCATCTTCCATCTCTAGTTATCAGCCCTCTGTGTCTGCAGCTTTGGTACCTGCAGACTCAGCCATCTGCAAATACAAAATAATCGGGATGAAAGCAAACAGACTCAGACCTTTTCTTCTCATTATTCCCTAAACGATACAGTAAGACTACTGTTTGCAGAGGATTAGCACAGACAGGATGGTGTGCACAGGCTACACACAGACACTAGGTCACTGTAGGGAAGAGACACAAGCATCCTCAGGTTTTGTTATCTGTACGAGGACTTGGACCCAGTCCCTCATGGGCACCGGGAGAGAATACACGTTCCTCGTTGCTACGTTCTCCTTGCCGCAGTTACACATGATCACTAGCTTAGCGCCTGGAAGCAGCACAGATTTATTATTTTACAGTTCTGTAAGTCAGGCTCTGACTGAGCTCAAACCAAGGTGCCAGCAGGACTTCATCACTTCCTGGAAGCCCAGGGGAGCTTTTTCGGGCTTCTAGAAGCTGCTGGCATTCTTCAACACGCAGCCCAGTCACCGTCTTAGCACCCAAAGCGCTGCCATTGTTCTGAGACTGCACCAGACCATTTTTGCATTGCTCTCCTTGGTCCTGACTCCTCCTCCTTCAAGGACTTGAAATTATTTTGTAATTATATGGACATGTAAGCATCTATGTGTAAGTATGTGCATGTACACGTGGGTGCCACAGGGGCCAGAGTGTAACAGATCCCTTGGAACTGGAGTGGCAAAGCAGTTAGTTGTGAGCCATCTCATGTGGGAACCAAATCCAGGCAGGTCCTCTGGAGGAACCCTCTTCCTCGCTGCAGGCTCCACTCCCTGTCAAGACCAGGTAATGAACCCTTTATCCTGCCTGAAGGTCAGAGTCAATCATCGAATTCACAGAAACAGGGATCAGGTTATCAGCCACTTAGGGAAGACAGTTACCCTCAGCCTACCACAAATGTGGGTTTGTTTAGTACTCTGTGTGTGTGTGTGTGTGTGTGTGTGTGTGTGTGTGTGTGTGTGTAGGTGCACATGCATGTAAAGGACACAGGTCAACCTCAGGTGTTATTTCTCAGAAGTCCTGTTTTTTTGAGACAGGTCACCCATTGGCTCCAGATCCAGAGTAGACTAGGCTGGCCAGTGAGCCCCAGAAACCCCCCTTGGGATCACTAATGCATGCCACCATGCCCTAGCTATTTAGTGTGGATGCTGGAGATCAAATTCAGGTCCCCATGCTTATGCAACAAAAACTTTACCAACTGAACCATCTCCCCAACTCCCAGTTTTGATTATTTTAGTGTTGTATTTAAAAAATATTTGTCTGGCTGGGCGGTGGTGGCGCACGCCTTTAATCCCAGCACTCAGGAGGAAGAGGCAGGCGGATCTCTGTAAGT